CATATCCCAAACTCATATGGGAAACGGGTACCCATTACCCGTACGGGATGGATAACGGGTACCCATACTACCCATAAATACCCAAAGTTTAAACTACTAAAATTTTAACAGCAAATTAATAATGCATAACAGCAAATTAATTAAACCACTAAGAAGAGCTGCAATTGGAAATGGGAAACGGCAATAATTAATAATGCATACCAGCAAATACAATTAGGTAGCTCCAATTAGTAGCACGCAGTAACAGTTAGGGCAAGTTTAACTAGACTGTTAGGTGGCTCCAATTAACAGCAGTAGTAGCAGCTAGCTAATAAATCAAACACAATTCAGGACATGTAGTTAGAAATGGTAATTGAAAGGGTAACTGGGTAAGGGCCGAAATGGGTTGGGTTGTGCTGGGTAATTGATTTCTGAATTAGTGAATTGGGCTGGGCTGAAATGAATTTCTATTGAATGGGTATAACGGGTACCCACATTACCCAAACGGGTATTTGCGGGTAACCCGCGGGTACCCATATTAGGAATGTACAATCCCAAGTCCCATCCGTTTATAATATTACAGGTAATATGGGTACCCGTAACCCTTAAAAAACGGGACGAGTACGGGTATACCCAAATACCCGTTTCCCGTTGCCCACCCCTAACCTGCTCACTAAAAATTACAATAATTAAATGACCTGAATATACTAACTAAACTAAAGTTTAGCGCATCATCACGTAATAAAATAACTATAATAATTATGGATGGTGGTTAAAGTGAGCTTGTGGTCTAAATGGCTTGGGTCGAAGCCTACAACTCATCAATATCAGAACTCTTAAAATTGGTGGAGAGTACGAACAACTACAAGAACAAACTCTAGAGTGAAAATCACAAGAGAAAAGTGAGAAGAGAGCTTTCTTATTAATGTGTCTTGTTGGTACAATGTGTGCTTTATTTATAAGCACAAATCTATACAATATAAAAATCTATCATCAGTATCCATAATAATGAATAATGAGCAATTAAGCACAAATTTAAATCAGAGGGGAGGGGTTACATCTAACCACCTAATGTGCAGTGACTCACTAAAACTACACTCCTTATTATGCCAAGCGTAACAAAGACTGTATAGCATTATAGTGGCACAAATAACAAAATATTGAATCCACGGGTCTATAGATTTATTATTACTAAGATTCAGTTTATTATTAAGCAAATCGTATTCGTGTTAAAGAACTACAAGTACTCTAACAAACTATACTAGGTTAGACTACTAATTACAGGTTGGGAACTCACCCAGGGAATGATCCCCCTAGCCACTAGCCGGATTAATTATTGATGATTCTCGAAATTGTTTCAATATTCATTCACAATGCGGAAAGTCTTTTACTAGACCTTGAATCTGGATTAAATCAAATCAAAACCCTTTTGAGTCAATTTCCTAGAGGGACGTATCCTTAGAACAAATGATCAAGGAGTTCTACACTAGAATCCATCTATCAGATGAGGTTCTTAATCGATACATATCAATGAATCGAATCGCTCTCATGTTATCAATGCCCTACTTTCAATCCATGGTGCTCTATTGACCTAATCATGTATTCCCTCTCATAGAATCAAAGCAAAATCAATAATCTCGACTAAAGTGGAATTGACATCCAAACATGCATAGATTGAATATGAACTCAAGATAATCAAGAGAGAGTATTCATACAACCATTCAATCAAACAAACATAACTAGGGTTCCTCAAAACATAAATGAAGGAAAGTTACTCCATAGAGAACAGAGAGAATAGAGTAAGCATTTTCATATTGTCAATTTCATAGTCTAGGCTTGACCCTCGAGCTTCCAAGGCAAAGAAAACCTCCAATTCCACTCCAATATTGTCATCGAATCGCTCTCCCTCTCTCTTTTTTTTCCTTGGGTGTTTGGCATCCAAAACCCAGCGCCCCCTTCAAAAAAATGCACAAAACGACCTTTATGCACACTGTTGGCAAGTTCCACGGGCTTGAGGGCCTATTCCATGATTGTAGAATCCTATGTCCAGATGGTGGAATGTCCAGAACATGCTGATTCAACTTGGGAAATCCCCGATCTCTCCCTTGAGTTCCACGGTCGTGGAATAGAGATTTCAGACCCTGAAACTCTCTGTTTTGATTCCACGGTTGCAAACTGAGAAGCACGATCTTGGGTTTCATACCCATGTTCGTGGGAATAATTGAGGCCTTCTTTTGATCCTTTTTTACCTCCAAGTGCCATGGAACTCACTCTTAAACTCCCTCTACATGCTAGGACCTTAAATAGGCCAAAATGAACACAACCTAACATGAAATGGTCGAAATATGCAAGAAACCAAAGTGTGCATCTAATATGACTATCGGCACATTGAATATTTTCATAAAATAGCGACTAAGAAATGAGAGAATAAACCTGTGTAGTTATGGTGTTATCATGCACTAAAGTGTGCTTCTAATATGACCATAGTGAATATTTTCATAACAACCCCCTTGGATGAAAATTAGATATAAGTATGCCTCGTTACACCTTACTAGGAAAAACCCAATGCAATAAAAATCTTAGTGAAGGAAAAAGATTACATACTGATTGCACTACGCTATCGAATACTGCCTCATTGAAAACTTTACCAAGAAAACCCAGTGGGAAAAAAATGGTTAAGAGAAAAGGAGTGCAATGCATATATGCTCCCCTCATAACAACAACCAGTCCATATCTTTGCATGTTGAACCCTAGTTTACAAAGGTTGTTGTTGAGAGTGGCTCTTGAATAAATCTTCTAAATTATTAATTTGATGCATGACAGTACAATCATTTTCTTCGTATATGATCATCATGATCATTTCCTTTGAAAATAGTTCAGAGCCACAAGTCTAGTATAGTTTGTTTTGATTCTCCATGAAATAATCGCATCACCAAATATATGAGATAACTCGTCTCCTATCAGCCAATATGTGGATCAAATGATCATCATGATCATTTATTTTGAAAATAGTCCAGAACCACAAATCTACTATAGTTTGTTTTGATTTTCCTATTTTTAAGCACAAATTGTAAAAGTTCCTAGTTCACACGAAGAAGAGAATCCCGCACACAAATCCTTCCTAAGGTAGCAAAAATTATCAAATCACTAAAGAGGAAGAAAGTAGTAGAATCCCTCACGTACTGATACTCAAACTATGCAACTATCACCTATGATGCGCAACACATCAATAAATCTAATCAAGTCAAAGCACATCGAGTAGGTAATTGCAAGGACAAGGTGTTTTGGAACCCTAAAATTTGAAAAAATTTGGGTGTAGCATTCAAGGTTCCAAAAACACTAAATTTCACCATTCATCACCACAACATAAAAACGATTACTAGCACACACTCCCACAAGCGTTTATCAACGTCTTGCATTCATAAACGAGGGAAGATACTAGCAATCAACGGTTCAACCAATCATGATAGACATTCAAACAAACACAAACATCCCCCTTACACTTGAGCAACACATTGTCCTGAATGTGGGAGTTCCAAAGAAAAGATCGTGAATGTTACCATAACACGGGTTGTGGGTTGGGAAGGTTCACAAGTGTAATCTTTGGTCTCCTGGTGGTTTTGCACAACGATGAAGCGCATGAGATAGAGAGGAAGACAAATAGGATTTATAAGTATGATATATATATATATATATAATGACTGGTGTACGTCAGGCGTATAGTATAAAGCAGGTGATCTAACCGTTAGATGTACTTAGATGAGCTACGGCCAATCTCAACGGTCAATTTTTGTTTTTAATTAAATCAAACTTCGGGTTGGGGTTTAGAAAATCTGTGCATGTGGTTTATCCATTAGAGGTTAGGGTATAGTATCATATCCCAAACTCGATTTAATTCATAATCTAAATAGAGATATCTCACTAGTAGTGTCTGACGTACACCTGTTATTACACACACACACACACACACACACACACACACATATATATATATATATATATATAAATAATAAGTAGTACTACAAGAGTAATTAAAGTAAGAAAAGTAAAAAAGAAAATTAAGCTTTAAACATTGTTTTAATTGAAATAAAGAAAAAGAAAAGATAAAACGTAGGTCCTGGATGCCTAGAACTCATCCCTCCTTAGAGTTGTCGTAAAGATGGCAGTCGTCCTCTAAGTTGAAACTAGATGTTATCTTCAAGGTCGGCGACACCCCTCATTTCTAGAATAGTGAGAGTACTGATAAACTCTAGAACAAACACCTGATATATATTTTCTTGAATAGAAAGCAACTTGAGCCATTCCAATTTTTGTACTTGAGAGCGGATTGCATCTTCAATTCCGAGTTGGGAGAAAAGGGTCCAATTGAAACAATAACTTTTTCCTAGAGGTAATCCTTGAAGCCACATAAGGTTGCTCTTGAATTGCTCGGGCGTGTGTTCCAAAAAGAAGTGAGTGATTTGCTCAACGCCGCCTTCCACATTTGGTTGATCATCTTGATGGAGTATCCTTGTTGGATGGTGAAGATGTGATGGTGGATGAGGTTCTTCAATAAACACTTCTTTTGACTTGGATTTCCTTGTTTTCTTCTTTTAACCTTGGTGAGGACGAGAGGATGAGCTCTCACCATGAGCCATGCCTTGGGATTTGTGTATTATCCTACAAAACAAGTGGTACACATTTGCACAAACCATCAATCCAAAAATCACATTTCAAAAGGATAGCATTCTAATGAACTATCATTAGACCCCTAAATTCTTCCACCCACACCTGAGTGAAACTAAGAATTTGGCAAGAGGGGGAGATTAAATAGATGATAGCTCCATGATAATGTAATAAAGGATATCCCAAATCAATGTAGAAAAAATTAAGGATCGCCACCCCCATACTATGAAGTTGGTATCTAAAGAAAAGGACTGAAAATAATGAACTCTATGCGATTGAGGACTTTCTATGTACACTTGGTGGGTGGTTTTTGAAAATGTCATAAATGCATGAGAACAACCCGCCAAAGTTTCTAAAGTAACATAGGTGGTTCATTAAAGAGAAGAAAAACACTCTCGTGCCAAAAAGATGTCATCCTAGGTAGAGAATGGGCATCAAAGGTTCCAAGCATTCAACACATGTTGGGCAATATAAGGTATTGAAAAACATAAAAACATGGGAAAATGTACCTTATCTTGCCACGGGACATGTTGGGAATCCAAAAGCAATTAATAATCCTTCTCAAACTCTAAAGATGCTAGAAAATGATATTAAAGAAGGTGGGTCGGAAGAGTAAAGAGGGGTGGAGAGTAATGGCATGTAGATCTAGAAAGGTGTGAGAGAATGAACACACATAGATCTAAATAGGCTGTCATTACTTAAATAGAGACGGGCAAGATCACATGCTAGGGCACCCAGATCGCGACCGCGATCTTTGGCCCCACAATCGCGAACTTTGCTTTCTTGATCAATTTGGTTTTCATTAGTGTTCTCCTTGGCCTATTTTACTCTAGGTTCTGTTATTTTTTCATACTTCAGGTTCGAGAGAGTAAAGGGAGGTATAGGCGCAAGTTTCGGGTCAATCGGAGGTCGTTTGGTCACTCAAAAGCCTCTCAAAAGTGGAGTCGAGGAAGAAACACGGGCATGCTCTCCACAAAGCACCACCATGTTTCATCTGGCACTTGCCAGTGTTTTTTATGTCGAGCATAGTGACGATCCAGGAAAACATGGGCAAGCTTCCCTTAAAACAAGACTGTGTTTCACTCAGCACCCCACCAGTATTTTTTATGTCGAGCGTGTCTTGTGAAGACTATTGAAGGGATGCAAATCACGGGCGGGCTAAACACGTTCGTGTTCCCGACCGTGTTTCTGCCCATGGCTAGGTATAAGTATGTTTTCTGCGATTTTTGAGAGGGAGAGATGGGTTTATGGATCCCAAACACCCAAGGGACGAACCAGAGAGAGCGACTTGGGAAGATTCTTGGAGCTATTTTGGAGGATTTCTTCGCCATTGGAGCTTGGGAATCAAGCTTGGAGATGGAGTTGAAGATCTAAACCATATTTATGCATTCTCTCTCTTCTCTATGGAGTAACTTCCCTTCACTTAGGTTTTGACGAACCCTAGTTCCATATGTTAGGATCTTTCTTGTTTGAAACTTCGGATGTTATACTGAATGGTTTTAATCAATTGAGGCATGATTGTTGAGTCAATTGAATCTTGATCACTTTTATTTGATTTCTGCTTTAACCTATGATAGATAGAATCTGATTGGGTTAAGAGAGCTTTCTAAATTGGTAGTAGGGAACTGATTGTACGAGAGTCAGTGAATTCACTGCTTTGTATTGGAATTCATTCAAGTAGTGGATATCTTTGTGTATTACCTTAGCTTTGTACTCCGGTGGAGGTTAGTTGCCCGCCGGATATTCGGTCTAAGAGAACTTGGTTAGCTTAAGAGATTCCAAACTATTATTGGATCTTTTGTAGTTTAATCAACCGTAAAGCAACCAAAGAGAATTACAACTTGGACCTATTTGAGGAGTTAGTGGGAATCATACCTAAGTGAGTTCCCAACCAGTAATTAGTAGTTTAACCTTAGTTTAGTTAGTAGAGTAGTTTAGTAAATCAATCTTTAATCTGGTTTCCTAAATAATGAATTGAAGCTGAGTAATAGTAATTCTAGAGACCCGTGGATTCGATATATATTACTTGTGCCACTAGACTGCAGCCTCTTTCGGTGGTTACACTTGGCCATTGTTAGGAGCGAGTCATCAGGACAACTCATTTTCTCCAATTCACTAAGTTCAAACTTTCATCCAAACATTCAGCAAAACATCAAAAAGCCAGGGCTAAGTCGTATCAATCATTTCGCATGCATTTCTAAGTACTAATCAAATTATTATTTAATCAAAAAATAAAAGGAAAGATACGCAAACCGAAACATTGGGTTGCCTCCCAACAAGTGCGTCTTTAAAATTCTTTTCGCTGGACTTGAATCCTTAAGCTCAAATGAAGAGATCTCCATTCTTCACCGATGACCCTTCGTAGAAGTCATACTTGTGGTGAAGTCCAAGGTGAAGACCATGGATTCTCTCGGAAGCCGCATCCGGTACATGAGATAGAAATGGTCCATTTGAGTTAAGCTTCTTAGAAGAGATGTCATTATCCGTGAATGAATTGTAGTATTTCCGGAACTCTTCATTTGCAAGAATAGGAGCTAAGTCGCCTTTTACAAACCGGCTTCCCTTCTTTGGATGTCTCTTCTCGAAGATGAACCTTTGAAGCTTTCTTCCATGACCACCAAAAAGATGACAAATCTTAAACACCTCTTGTGTTTTCCTTTTGCAAGAAAACTTTTCCTTGCCCGGTTTCTTCATGGCCTTGCAAGAATCACTCACTCCTTAAACTTGATTGTCGTGGGGGTCAACATAGGAAACCATATTGAACCATTCTATCTCGGGGCTTGAAGGTGGTGTGATAGGCGGTGTAAGTGGCTCACAATCCATCTTGACATAATCTCATTTGTAATACTTGTGAAAATTTAGGATTGGAGTCATCTTGTAGCTTATTTCCTATTCACCAAAATTTAAGGTGATCTTGCTTCCACTTACATCAATGATAGTATGTGCCGTGGCCAAGAATGGTTGGCCTAGAATAATGGATGCATCATACCCCTCCGTGTCTTAGGGGTGGGCATACGGTTTGGTAAACCCGAACCAAACCGAATTTAAACCAAACCGAAACCGAATAACATTAATTTTGTTCGAAATTCGAAAGGGAAAATGGTATATTTCAGAAACCAAGGTCCTTTAGACCAAACCGAATTTCCGAATTACTATAATTGCAAGCTCCAAATGGTGGATTTTTATGTTTGTACTTATTATGAGACTTAAATATTTGAATTATGTTAGTGTTTTATGACTTATGTGTTAAAATGTTTGATTTTATCATTGATAATGCATTTAATTGCATATTTATTGTTTACATTAGGGGTGAAAAATAATTCAAAAGAGAAAAAATACAAGCTAACCTCACAAGTTCGGTTTTCATACAAAACCGAACCAAACCAAATTATAATTTGCTTTGAATCGACCGAACCAAATTATAATTTGGTTCAAATTCAGTTTGAGGTTTGATGGAACTCGGAAACCCGGTATGCATTATTTCGGTTCGGTTTGAACCAAACCGACCGAATGCCCACCCCTACCGTGTCTAGAACCACGAAGTCCACCGGATTAACGAAATGAGCATACTTTACCAAGACATTCTCGATGATTGCTCTTGGCTTGACAACAAATCTATTGGTCAACTGAATTTGCATTGAAGTAGGAATGAGTGGTCCAAGATCCAATTCATTATATATCCTTGTAGGCATAATGTTGATGCTAGACCCCAAGTCGGCTAACGGATTCCAAAAAGTTTTATCTCCAAAAGTGCATGAATAGTGAAGGTTCTCGGTTCTCTTAACTTGGGAGGGAATCCTATGTAACCAATGGATGCTGAAACAACTTCACTAACAGGTAACATAGCCACTTCTTCCATTTTCCTCTTTCCCGACAATATTTCTTTCAATAATTTAGTATATTTAGGGATCTATTACACCATGTCTAGGAAAGGGACGGTTACATTTAATTTCTTCAAGATGTCTTTCCATGCAGCACATTCATGATAGAGATCACTTTCAAATAATCGTCTAGGATAAGGGGCTTTTGGTGTTGGCTCGGGTTCATGAGTCTTCTTAGACTTTTCCTCATCTTCAACATTGACCTCAACGGAAGGTTGAATTTATTCCCGAGCTAACTCTTTCTCTTGAGCAACCTCTTGAGGGACTTCTCTTACCGGGATCCTTGGAGTTGGTATAGTAATCTCCTTCAACAGTCGAACACTCCTTAGAGTCACCGCGTGACATTCTTTTTTTGGATTAGGCTCGGTATTGCCTGGTAGAGCTCCTTGATATCTCAATGAGATAGTTTGAGACGATGAACTCAATTGAGCTTCAAGATTTTGAAGTGAAGCTTGTTAATTTCTTTGTCACACTTCTAAACTAGAGAATTTGATTGAGGTATTTTCTATGAACTTGTCAATAGCTTCAAACTTCTTGTTAGAATGTGCGACAAATTGCCCTACCAAGTCTTCAAGTTTAGCAAGTCAACCATCGGAGGGCCGGCTTTTTTCTTGAAATTCCCCTTGGTATGTTGGTTGACTCGGCTTCGGATATGCATTTCGCATTGGATCTTGAGATTGAAACCCCGGAGGTTTCCTTTCCGTCAGAGAAAACTAAAGAAAGTTCGGGTGATTCCTCCATCCCAAATTATAAGTCGAGCTATAATGGTTATTTCCTCGGGATTGACCTCCAACAAAGTTGGCTTGCTCGAATGGAATATAAGTTTCAATCATCGACTTGCATTCTTCCATTTTATGACTCGAGTCGCCACACCAATCACACTTCATAAGTTGCTTCCCATTGCTCTTCATTGATGCAACTTGATCGATCTTCTTGAAAAGTTCTTGAACATAGGCCGGCTTTGTTCTTGAAATGCCCCTTGGTATGTTGGTTGACTCGACTTCGGATATGCATTTCGCATTGGAGCTTGAGATTGAAACCCCTGAGGTTTCCTTTCCGTCAGAGAAGACTAAAGAAAGTTCGGGTGATTCCTCCATCCCAAATTATAAGTCGAGCTATAATGGTTATTTCCTCGGGATTGACCTCCAACAAAGTTGGCTTGCTCGAATGGAATATAAGCTTCAATCATCGACTTGCATTCTTCCATGTTATGACTCGAGTCGCCACACCAATCACACTTCATAAGTTGCTTCCCATTGCTCTTCATTGATGTAACTTGATCGATCTTCTTGAAAAGTTCTTTAACATAGGCCGATGGAGATGATGGTTCTTCGATCTTCAATAAACTTCCCTTCGATATGCTCTTACCCCTTCTTCCGTCACCCCAATCGTAGCTATTAAGGGTCATTTCTTTGATCAGTTGTTGAAGTTCTTCGACATCTTTGGTCCGAATGGCACCTCCACTAGGTGCATCAATGAGGCTTTGTGATTCCTTTGTTAACCCATTGTAGAAACTTTAACTTGTAACCAATCGGCTATGCCATGGTGAGGACACTTGAGTAGGAGAGATGTGAATCTTTCTCATGCTTCAAATAATGGTTCATCCTCCTCTTGACGGAACATAGTAATCTCACTTCTCATCAAAGCCGTCTTAGAAGGTGGAATGTACCTTGTGAAGAAATTGTTGCATAGGTCATCCTATGAAGTTATATAGTGATGTGGTTGATTATTAAACCACTTCTTTGCCGCTCCATTCAAGGTAAATGGGAATAACCTCAGTCGAATAGCCTCTTGAGGAACCCCGTTCACCTTGATCACATCTGTCAACTCGTAAAATGACTTGACATGCGCATGTGCATCTTTACTCATCATCCCATTGAATTGAACCGCACTTTGAAGCATCAAAATTGTGCCCAGCTTTATCTCATAATCATTGTTGGGCAACATAGGATAACGAATAGGTGATTGAACATTGTCCACACTTGGCCTAGAGTAAGAAACCATTGTTCTTGGCCTTGGTGGTATTTGAGCTTGACGTTCTCCCATTGGTTGAGGTTGAGGTCTTGCAACTCTTCTTAGATTCCGAAGAATCCTGTCGATTTCATAATCAAAAGGCAATATTTCCACTGAATCCCTTCTTCGCATACAATGGTGTGACTCGCTAAAACACAACTCCTAACAATGACCAAGTGTAACCAATGAAAGGGACTGCAGTATAGTGGTGCAATTAATAAATATCGAATCCTCGGGCCTCTAGATGTAATATTACTCAACTTCAGTTCATTATCTAGCAAATCAGATTAACGTTTGATTAACTAAACTACTCTACAAGCTAAACTAGGTAAAACTACTAATTATAGGTTGGGAACTCACTTAGGTATGATTCCCCCCTAGTTTGCAGTTACGCCAAGTTGTAATTCACCCAATCCAATTCAGTTGAAAAATATACTGTGGAAAGTTCTTTACAAGTCTGAAATCTCGACTAAAGCAATCGAGTACAGAGCAGTAAATCAATTTCTCGACTAAAGCAATCGATCCACTACTTCCAATTAAGGTTGCTCTATTAACCTATGGAGAGACTATCGTTCTAGGTTAAAGCAGGAATCACAAAAGTTTGATCAGGACTCAAGTAATTCTGAATCAATGCCTCAACTGAATATAAAATGTCAAACAATCATGAATTCAAGTTCATACAACTCTTCCTAGCATACAAATCTAGGGTTCCTCAAAACCTAAGTGAAGGGAAGTTACTCCATAAAGAAGAGAGAGAATGCGGAAATTCGATCTAGATCTTCAATATCCATCTCCAAGTTTGATTCTCGAGCACCAATGGTGAATAAATCCTCCAAAATAGCTCCAATAATGATCCCAATGTGCTCTTTCTCTATAGGGTTCGTCCCTTGGGTGTTTGGCATTCAAAATCAAGCTCCCCCTCTTCAAAATCTGCAAAAACGCATTTATACAGCTCCTAGAGGCCAAGTTAAGGGCAAAGTTACGACCATCCCGTAACTTTGAAAGCAGCCTGTAACTTTGGAAATTATTCTGCTTCCCGGGGCAAAAGTTACGGCCAAAATGGAAAAGTTACGGTCTGAACCGAACTTTGAAGACCAGCCCGTAACTTTGGATAGGCTGCGGTCTTTCGGTCCTTTCTCTCTCGTCCGAACTCTGAATCAGTCGCTGTTTGATCCTAGACGCTCGTAGTCTCGTCCTATTTCTTTACATGTCTAGATTATATGATTCTTTGTCCATTAAATGAGGTAGAAATCCATTCTTCCTTGGGTCATACCCGATTCTTCCCCCAAGTCGCCAATTGATATCCGATTGACTTGAAACTTGCGCCTATGCTTCACTTTACATGCTAGGACCTGAAAATATGACAAAGGAACACAACCTAACATAAAATAGACCAAATTATGATAAACAACAAGCTAAACAATCAAGAAATGAGGGGTAAAAACATGTGCAAATTTAGTGGTATCACGGTGCTACAAAACACAACCTCAACAACTCGTGACGTACGAAGTTGGATAACAAAACAAACAATGATAAAAATACAAAAAGAACAAAACACGAAACAAACACACAAAAACAAACACAAAAACAACACAAAACAAATAAAGCGAGGGAAAGACTAACTAACAACCTCGATCTAGGCTATGGTATCTGGGGCATTAAGCTTATGGCTCATTTCAATAGAAACTATCCACCGTCCACACCAAGGTTTCATCCTGGATTTCATCTTGGAAGGATACCTATAGCAGGGGTTCGGTTTCCTCGACCCCTATAGTCCCCCATTCACACATCTAACCTAAACTCGCCAGATGGCACATACCCATCTAACCCTAGAACTTCGTACCCAGCGCAGTAGCATAAAATAGGCTAAGTGGGAAGATTAGGGAAAATTACCCAAGCGTCATCATTTAGGAAAGAGTGGCATTAAAATCAACTAGACTAACACATTCATTCATTCAAATCCTAAAATATCCATATATACATAGTAAACCCTAATTTTAGGGTTTGGGGTTTAGAACCCCTAGTACCTTAGAGGACTACTCCATAACGGAGGGGAGAAGATACATGGTAGAAATATAAGAAGACTTGGGGTTGGAGAAGATGCCTCCTTGCTCCTAACGCCTTCTTCTTCTCCTTCTCTTCTCCTACCTTCAGCTTCTCTCTCTTCTCTCTCTCTAGAACCAGAAAGTTTCTCTCAAAATCAACTCACTTCAAAAAGGGAAATGAGTCTTTATTTATAGGCATGCTATACTGGGGAAAGTTCGCGGCCTGAGAAAGGGAGATCGCAGGCGGGATCTTTGGTCTCTAGGTCGTGATCTCAAAACGTAGTCGTCGAGGCCTTTGGGACGGGGAAGATCGCAGGGTGAATTCGTGGTCGCGATCCGCGAGTCGTGGCCACGATCTTCCTCGCGGGCAAGATGAACGTTGACCATGACTTGACTGTGGAGACTCTCTGTTTCTCCAAAGCTCCTTCCCTGCGAAGTTCGCGCCCTAGGCCTCCAAGTTCGCATTCGTTATCTATGGCTTCTAGGCCGCAAACTTCAGCTACTCTTTGCGGCTTGTGATCACGATCGTAATCTTCGGCTTCTAGGCCACGATCTTCAATTCCTGCCCCTTCTCCACACTTGTGACCTTGTTTTGTACCTAATTCGCACATATCGACTAATACATCGTAAAATCATATCAAAATCAAATAGGAACGCAATAGGGATGTATTTGACGATGTTCAAGCATTTAAACGTATGAATTGGCACAAAACACACCTAGATATGTAGGGTAAATAACACCAAGTTTGATATTATCAACGACCGAACTGGCGATACGAGGACGATCAACGACGGGGTAGCAGGTTGCTAGAGTGGGTACCTCTTGTGTCATTCCATAGCACATGGTATGGTATATTACCAAAATCTGTAGGTCACTCAAAATTTTCAACAATGCATGGGTACCACCAAATTCTCACTTCCAGGCAAAAAAAAAAAAAAAAAATTCCTAGCCGATTGAGGTTATTAGAAATTAAGATAATGTACTTACGGTTGGGTTAAAAGGAGATTAAACCTGAAGTTGTGACTGGAGGAACGAGTTATCCTTGTGTCTTTTCTCCTTTAACACGTAAGCTTTAGCATGAAATTTTTGTTGATTTGTAAAGATTGCTCAAAAGCTAGTGAACAAAAAGGAGCTAATCAGGGGGAGAGAAGAGAGGTCGGGGGTGGGGATGATTGAATCATGAAGTTTGGATTTTGTAGGCAACTCGCTGTTCCCACCGGCACACACCATTTCAATTTTCATGATGTCAGTCAGAAATCAATTCTAAAGGGAGAATTCATTAGGCGATTGCGATTGCGGTTAATTCCTCTAAGTGGTGTCTGAAATCAATGAGATGGCTGAAGTAGCAGGCAATGCAATGAAATGATGGAGAAAATATATAGTAGATATCGCTCACTGTGGTCAGCATTCTGTTAATATTGTAATCAATGCCCAAGTCCCACCAATAATTACATGCCCACCTCATCAAAATGACAAAAGGGCCAAAAACAAAACATGGGTTACAAGACCTTGACTGTCAACGGTCAGAAGTTTTTTTTACTAGTTATCTGTTTGTAACTTAATTTGACTAGATTCGACATAAAATGCTTGGTTCAGTCAAATATGCTTAGTTATTGGTTTGTCACCTCTAATTGTATGCAATAGCTTTTGCCCATGAACGGATCATTTGGAAGGAGCATTTTAAACATAAAAAAATTTGGGGATGAGTAATTTATTTTACACAAAAAAGACATCTTGATCTCCTAGGTAATATTGGATATAGTTAATTACCGGAGGAAAATATTGGATATAGTTTAAACTTGACATTCTAAACCCGAATATCTCCTGCTTAACCCAAGGATGGAAATACCGTAATATTGGATATAGTTAATTACCGGGGAAAAAATATTGGATATAGTTTAAACTTGACATTCTAAACCCGAATATCTCCTGCTTAACCCAAGGATGGAAATACCGTACCGAAAGTTCTCCGGAAATTATAGCGGTAGGATATTTGATTCTAAAATCGTGGTTTAAGTATGGCTCAATTGCTTCATACCGCTAAATACCGTCTACCGGTTTAGCCTCCGGTAGAAGGTTTTTCTGGTTGAACCGCTAGTACGGTACGGAATTTCAATACTTGCTTAATCCATACTTTTGCGTCTATGTTATGAAGAATTTTTATGGAAAAATCCAGTTTAAAGAAATGCTTGATATGGACTCATAATTTTAAGTACAAATTTTCATGAAAAGACTGAGTCAAACTCAAACACATAGCATTGGTACATAATTATATCTCCCTAGTAAAAACAGTAAATATCTATAGAAAAAGGTTAGTTTCTATATATAAAAAGCCGGGTCAAGCAAATTATACTAGTGATTTGCACCTGCTTTTTTTAATATATATATATATATATATTACCTGCTGCAGGGCATGCTTCATTCACTTGGACTAGCTAGCTTGTAAGCTTTTGGTTCACCCCATTCATTCTGCCATTCACTTGAAATCTCATCCATTTGACTCATTTCCCTAGTTGAGCTACCTCACATATTAATTCACATACTACTTTTTGCTTTACTCAGCTTAACAAAATGGTCTTTAAAGTCAGGAATCCTAAGTATAACACCCAAAAGCCAAAATTTCTTTTTATCCCAAAATGTGCCCTTTTGCTTATAGGTATAAACTCAGCCAGCCTTTAAAAGATGTGGGCTTTTGGCTATGCATGAAAGGAAAGCATCCACTCCAACTCCAAGGCTGTAAAAGGGTTTTTTTCCCCTCCTTTGCACCCTCCCTTTGCTGTTTTGCCTCATGGCAGGGTAGGAAAATCAAAGTGATTCACATCAATGTATAGTTTTTTTGTTTTTCTTTTAGGGTTATTGCTGAATGCAAGACAGCAGCTCTCTCTTCTTTGCAATCTTTTTTCCTCTGTGATCTCCTTCTCCTTTATTCTTTTTTCAAGTTCTTTCTAGCTAGTCCATTGGTTACTCGAAATAAGAGATGTCACCATCGTGAATCCCCCCTTGTACGTGATGACCTTGCTTTTGCAGATACAGTAGTGTGGGAGAACAGCAAACATGAAAAAGGAAGAAAAAGAGGAGGAGAAAAAAAAAAAGGAACCCAAAAAGAAGAGAATACATGTGTATCATGGCCTCAATAATTTGAAACCCTCAGCCTCAAGGAATGAAGAAATTCACAGTTTGTCCCATTTACAAAGCAAAGAGAATATTGTACAAGCTGCAAAATGCAAGAAACAGGTAGCTAGAGTACTTAAACTGTCTACTACTTCTAGATTAATTAGTGTCATCAATCAAGAAACATTTAGGCAGCATTTCACGAGTTGTTTGGTACAAATTGGGATGTCTGTGTTTTCCATATATAGAGAGTATCGAGATTAATTTGCTAGTCAAGGATGTAATTACCTTTTTTTTTTAGTTTCATATTCGCTTTGTGATTCACGCTATAATTTTGTTGATTCTCTGATTGGTTTTCCCGATACTGTTCGATTTTGAATGATATGGTGCATGCTATTTCAATAGCTTAAACAATATCCAACTATTACTATGACATTGATAAGAATACATTTCATCCACTCTCAAACACTATTCACCTGTAAATTAATTACCATTCACGTAATCATTTATTTATGCACTCTCTCTATTTACAAAATCATGTACCACTACCTCTTGTATAAATAGATTTTGAATCCATGTCCATCAAGTAAGTAAAAATTAAGTGGTTAACATTCATACATGAACATTTTTCATCGATTCGAGTTATTGAGACAGATTGATTTACGAGTTAAAGCGACAATTCGTAACAAAGTATTAAAACAGTTGATATCTACTAGGTAGGTAAGCCCAACTGTGGACGACAATAGGGGACTAGGTAGATGGCCTAGATGTATGATTGGGTTGTGGAAATGGAGAAAAGATGGGAAGGAGCGTTCTCGTTGAGATGAGGATGGAAAGGAAAGAGCTTTCCAACTCACAAATTGCATAGAAATATATATATTACCTTAACGTCGTCTTTGGATGCGAAAAGGAAAAAATGGTAGGAGTAGGAAGTTGAAAGAGAAAGGAAAGTTTAATGGAGGGAAGAAGTGGGCAACTCAACTCTCGAGGGAGCGTGTTGAACGTTGATGGGTATATATATTATGTTTTTTCTTTTTTAAGCAGAGCAGAGCGTATTGTTGCACTTTGTGGGGAGGGATGATAGCTGCAGCTCAGTGCCACCATGGCCCCTGCTGCTGCTGCTGCTGCGGATGATGATCTGCTCTCTGCTCTCTCTGGACCTGTAATGTTTCCTCTCTATTTCCACACACACACACTTCATTAACAAAATTTTCTTTGGGTTCAATCATCAAACACCTTCACTGCACAACTGCAAAGTCTAGCAAGTGCTACGTACTGCCCATTTTCGATGATCCCCCAGAGAGACACACCCATATTCTAATTTTGTTTATGAAGAAAATAGGAAAATTCACATCAGTATCCTTAGAATATTGTATACTCCTTGTGGTGGGTGCATCTCATATAAGTTGGAAATATTACGATAAACCAAAATCATTGATCATTGTTCAGTCATTTGAACTAAGGTATGGTATCGTACCTCTAATTCAAGTTAATTAATGGTTGTAACCTTACTTAGTTATACATCCATACCCCTTAATTCATGTTTTGGTCGTCGTCCAATCGAGTGTTAAGTGCTCTATTAACGTCGGATGACACGTGGCATCTTATGTATAAAATTATCACCTCCTTCATTGATGACGTTATAACCACATGTAAGCTCACTAAGCCCGATTGTGATAAGCCCATATATATACATATATTGTTCGGACTAGCGTACGTCAAGCGTACATTGTTACGCTCTTACTATTTAGAGCACGAATTAAGCAGAGTTTTGGGCCTGATACTATACCCCAACTTCTAATGGGTGAACCCTAGTCTTTAATTCTCTAACCCAAGCCACAAAATTCATTTTATCTAAAATATTAATAACCAATGGTTCTAATTCAACGAAATATATTAAAGTGCAAAAATCAAATGTAAATACAAGCGTTAGCTTCTTAGCTTTCCTAGGTCAGCATTGATCAGTCGGGGAATATGGAAAGGGAGTGGGCGGGAATGTAGAGTTGATGGACGTGGAAGGGTTAAAAGGCGCAGGAGAGGGAGTTTGAATTGAACTAACTGCTGTTTAAGCCGAAAGCAATTTGTACTCTTCTTCTTAATTAACTAATAATTGATCCGTATCTTAAGTGCTATTGGAAGGTGATCGGACAAAGATGTGTAAAAGTAGAGCACGAAAATTGTTGGGATTTGGAACAAAAGAAGGATAGAAAATCAGCATAAAAGTAGTTACGACAAATTCATAAAGCAATAATGTTTGATTAGTTATTACCATTAGTGTCTATCTATCTTGAGCTTAGTTTTTGGATTTATATATCCATCAATCAACTAATGGTGGTATAGTAATGCCGCTAATCCAACTTTTAATTGAACACGTGTGCACATTAGTTAGCCCACCAAGGCATTAGTAGATTAGCAAACAAAGGAGATACAAACTTCTGTGGATGGGTGTGGGAGAAGTCTAGTCTAAACCAAACCTTGGCCCATGTAAAGGCCCAATGGCCTAGAATCACACTAATCTCCCGCAACGTCACATTTGATATCCAAAGATACATCTGGGAGGACTAAGATCAGGTGATTAAGTCAATTTCAGCCATTCAACCAACCTCAAGATCCTTGCGAAGGTTTATCATATGTGAGCTCGCCCACGCAGTAGGGGGAAGAGGGGTCAATATCCTTCGGTTTGGTGCGAAGTGAGGAGCGACCTGCGAATTCGCATTCATTATTGTGAGGTAACAACGTCGCTATCTCGACATAGGTTTTTCTTCCTTTTTACAGGAGTTCCATCTGGAGCTAGTGGGAAGACAGGGGAGAAGTTTTTTTACTAATGAATTGATATTGAAGGGAGAGGTTATGCAATGTACTCGACCGAAGGGAGAGGTTAGAGCTCGTTCTAGTTCGAATCCTGGTCTTCCAATCTCTATTTGACAGGGCTTCTTCCTATACCTATGAATTCCATTGAACCCAGAAATGATACATTGGAAGAATCCTTTGTGTGTTCCAATATCAATAGGTTGATATTATCGCTCCTGTATCTTCCAAAAGGAAAAAGATCTTTGAGAGCTCTTTCTTGTCAATCGGGGAAGATTTTTGGTGACAACCCCTGGAGATATCAGAAGTGAGAATGCTGACATGATTAACGATAAATCATGTGAGGGACTCTCTATCTTCTTGGGTAGATAATCAATTGTTTTTCATTTTTCATGAGCACTAAGACTACTAACATGATCTGCAAGTACTGAGCAGATTTACCCTTTACTTCTTCATAAGATGTCCTAACCGCTCATAAGCTGTTTTGAGCGTGAAGATCCCCGATCCTCATTGTGATTCACTCACCCGTAACCGGAGAGACTAGAATAGAAGCGAAAGAACGAAGTAGCTCGCCCATAAGCAGGTGGGAGAGATTTTTTTATTTTCGGACCCCAAAGAAAATAAACTCGATTTAGAAAATGGGTCTTTTTTAGTAGATCATGAGGTATGAGATTATCTTTTGGTAATCCCCCCCCCCCCCCCCTCCGCTTTTGTGTTCAAGAATCGGTAGCGGTTTTTAATTTAAAGAAGACTATTGACATTCAGCACCACTACTTCAACTACATTGTGTCCGTAGGGAAGATCTATTGTAATGAGATAATGTTCGAGCTTGTTGATGGCAAAGGAGACGTTAGGATGAGTCTTTGAAAACTATTGCATTCTTTGCCCTAACGACTATTTTCTCTAACAGGTTTAGAATATGTTCCACCGAAGGCACGAAGTTGCTCGACTATTTCTTTCTTTTGGTACGAGGAACTTATCATCAGTTCTTGTCTTGTTCTATCTCCATTCCATCAGTGTTGCGTGTGATTTCTTGTTTGAAGTAAACTAATCAAACTATGTGTGAGTTATTGTGTGTCATAATTTGATCATATACACACGATATTATAAATAGCATACAAGATTTTGGTAAGACATGTAGTTTCTTGCATCGGTGGTTCGTGTTTGAATCTCTATCCTGAGGTGTAGTGTTACATTCTCTATTTCGAGGTTCCATGAGAGTAGGAAGAGCAAATTCGTAACCTTAATCAAAGACCTTAGCAACTTTAGTGGCATAAGGAGTTCAAAAAACTCGAACACCGGTTAAGGACGCGATGGGAGAATTTTTCTCTTTCTAATTTAATAGTGATGCCTCAACTTAGGCTTACTTCACGAAGAGGCAATCTCTACCAGACTACCAGTTGATTGCTTTTACTCTCTTTTTTTGTCGAGATTGGCTTGGTTTTACTCGTAATTGCAACTTCGTGTCATACTTATTAAAATCAATGATCAATCACAGATTTCTCTCTTGGATTAATACTAGGAAAAAACCACAAATTTAAGCAAGAATAACGAGATTGAAGAAAAAAACTCAATAAAGTATAATAATCAAATCATAATATCAATAGTTGAACAACTCTAGGTTTGACAATACTAAACAACAAGGGTGTTCTAGTCACACAGAGAAAAAATAATACACAATGATAGTGAATTTTGAGTGCGAAGAGATGTACTTATAGGCTTTTACTTCAAGTTTATCTTCACCTAGGGTTAGCATGTGTACTGACCTGGACATCTTCTATGTAGAAGAAATGGAGCAAAAACAGGAAAATTTAAGAAATGGAGCAAAAACAGGAAAATTTTGAGTTCGAAAGAGAGAGAGAGAGCTCGCGGCAGTGTGTTGCCTAATTGTCTTCTCCAATTCGTCATCCAAAGTTCTTAATGGGGAAGGGTATTCAAGACCATCCCTTATCACAGGTCTGATCTATTATGGCGGACCAAACCGGTTGTGCTTTTTGCGTCCACTTGTTCACAAGTTTTTTTTGGTTGAAGAGTTTCTGTTTTTCTGGGTCGGGTGGTAAATTGGTGGTTCAATTCAAACCCTACAAACTTACCTGGAAACCATGAAAAATGAAATGAACCTCTTTGGAAAAGATGGAACCCCTCAGCAGTTCGATAAATCTTTTTACTTGACCATCACACACAATACAACCTCTAAAGAGCGCACCAAAATCAGACTCATGATAAACTCAACAATGGTAGATCCCCAGTTGCTTCAGTAGTATGATTGTCAAAAATTGAAGTGCTAAATGACCTACTGACTAAAAGGTAGCAGCTAAATTAAGATCTATCCCAAAACCAGATTCCTCAGGTCAACAGACCTCACTATGGATCACAGTTAGGGAGGTTGCTGAAATATGCTTGCTCACACAGACTGTAGGGACGAGCCACGCTGCATTTCATTGCTCATCTGGGCAGCCTATCGAAGAAATTGCATGGGATCCCAAAAATTTGAACGTCACGGGCCAGGGCCACGAGTTTGCAACCTTCTCCTCTCCAACTCGAGCTGAAATAAAGGCAAAGGTAACCAAAGCAAATAACTCGGCAAACAATGTCAAGAACAGAAGTCGAATCGTGAGATGCTTACCACTTTTTTCACTCGGTCATTGGCAGCAGGAGTTCCTCCAATAACATTTTCAGGGAGATAAGGGCTACTGACGCGCACTTCATTCATAACAACTATAGAAGTCTTGTCCCAGCGGACCGGAAGCCTGGTTTATTTTACATCAGAATCAGCAGTAAAACTAGTCATCTTCAACAGAAGCCTCTTTTTAGTTAAGAAAGCGAGACTACAAAAGTGAAAGGAAGCATCTTCGAGTCTACAAACAAAACCATTTAGGAGCTAATTCAAACAACACACTCGCAAACATGAGGCCTAATAACCATGCACATACATAGAAGGACAAGTACAGGACTGTGAAGAATACTGGTAAACGGCCCTTAGCCACCCAGAGACACTGGCGTCGAAGTGAATAAGTCATCTCAAAGCAGAAAACACCAACACTAGAATTCGAATCACTTCCATTCTGTCTAAGTCACTCCTCATTCAACCCCAAAATGAAGATCATTCATCAAAACATCAAAAAGAACGGGACACTCTAAGACTACCAGCATACATCCAATATCTGAACCTACTGATTATCATTGAAAGTAGAATTCATGACAGTTGCACGACCACAATCAAAATGGATGATGTAAAAATGAGCATACGTCTTAAACAAGGCGTCAAAGATTCCCTGAGCCTGAGTAGTGACACCAACTCCAATCCTCTGGGCATCTGCTTCCGCTTGCCTGCAAAATTCACATAATAACAGAAGTGAGAAATTCAATAGCAAGACCCATCGAAATCCCTAAGCTAGACGAACAAAAGAAGGCATATTTACCTCAAAGCCAACTCCTCACGAGCTTGGAGGCTCTGGAGATCTATATAACACTTCTTGAAGTCAAGTGGGTCTTCTGATTGCCCTAGGAAAGAGAACTCCTTGATGTAATTCGTCTTCAGGAACCGTATGTTCCTCCTCGGCCCAAGTTTCGATCCCTCTTGTGAGAATCAAAACAACACAGTTAAGGAATCCAGAGCACAGAGGGTTTCAACAGATACTCAGCATGGGTGAGAAGAAAAGGCAGAGCAGGAAATGAAGGATGGTTGGGAGAGAAGGATATGAAGGACGAGGATGTTGGATGGGCGGTCGAAGGTGACGACTTGGCCGTCGAATTCGTCGCCCAAAGTGGTTTTGATGGAGAGCATACAGCCCACTGCGAAATCCTCGTCGCTTCTGCTGCTGCTGCTGCTACCTTCCATGGCTGCTCCCTCTTTCTCTCTCGACTATCGCTGAACTCTCAACTTCTCCGGTTGCTCTTCCTTGATTCAATTTCTTCGCTTCAGGGAAAAATTCAGTTCTTCCGGCTTTCCTTTGTGTTTTAATTGGGCTTCATTTGGGCCCGGAGATAGTTGAATTGGACTTTTTAAAGTACCATCTCCCGCCTCCTTTTTAGAGATGGCAACAACATTCGAATCCACGGATACCTTATCCGATCCAACCTGATCAAAGTGGGTAAAACTCACGTTGACGAATTGTAAGACTGTTTGGGTTGAAACCCGTTGCACTGTTCAATGGGTTGGGTTGCATTCGGCTTTAGTTATATGCGACCCATGGATATCCACACACCCACATTCCCACAACCGGTCGATTAATTGTGTCGTGGCTGTTTATCTTTAATATTGAAACATTTGTATAGATAATTTGTGAGTTTACTTGTATTTACTAGATTGGTATTTTTATTATATGGATAATTTGCATGGGAATATATGTGTGAATTTTATTTGATAGGAGATTGGTGTTATGCATTTTTTGTCCATCGGAAACCATGGGTATCCATGAATCTAGGGGGTGAGGAGTGGGTGAATTTATGAAGATTTTGGTGGGTTTGGAACTACGTGGTAGGTGAAGGGTAAAATGACCGACACCCACCCAAGCATTACATGTGGGTGGGTTGGGTTGGGTGGTTGGGTGGATTCGGTGGGTTTAATAAATATATTTCATATGATCACATAATTTCAATAGTTTTAAACTTAAAATGAATGAGATTTTCAAATTAAATAATGCCTAATTATGAAATCAAGTGAATCGTTTATTTTACAATATTAGTATTGGTAATTGTCCACAAATTACGAAATATTCAATTGATAAACATGGTCTAAACTTGATAATAACCAAAGTTAAAGAAGACACTAGGCATAAGGCAAAAAGTCTGGTCTTGTCTAGCGCCTCATTCGCCTAGGCGTTGGGAGCGTAATTAGCTTTTTAACCTATAGTCACAAATTACAATTCCAAATTGATGGAAGGGATGAAGGACGAATCAGTGGTAGTTTGAGATGGTATTATTTTGGGGGAAGATAACTGTTTTTTCTGCCATTTTGTCTATTAGTTATGCTAAATCGTACCTCCAATTGCCTAAGCACACCTCAAAACACAATCCTTTGATTGAAATCGAGAAGAAGTTTTGTGATTTTAAAGGTTTCATTTTCGGTAAACTTATATGTTAGAGATTTGATGGTTTGAGGTTAAAAATTTGGGTGAGTCGTGGGTCAACCACAGTCCACCCACACCTTCCATAAGAACCACCCACATAATAATGGGTGGGTCGATTGCGGGTGGATTTTGGTAGATTTGTGGGTTCAACAACCCAATGCTCACCCCTACATGAATATGTGGATACCCAGTGGGTTGGGTAGGGTATAAGTTTAAGAACAAGTTGAATTTTTCCCGGTGGTTTTTACGGATATACCCATTGCATTGGATTTGGATTTGGCAGAACCCGACCCAACCCAATCCGACCATTGCCATCCCTACTCCTTTTTCTAACCATAGCATCATATTTTACAAAAACTATCAAGACGGCAAACAACCGAAGAGCCCCCCCCCCCCCCCCCCCCCCCACCCCCAACCGAGCACCACTTTTATCAAAATGTCCTTAATAAATCAAAACTTCACGTTAACAAAAACTGACATAATGAAAAGCGACTCAATTTGAATAATTTAACTTAGTAAATATCTTTCATAAAATCTCACCAACTACTACACCTAATTAATAACTTCATGCTCAAGTTCTTCAAGAGTCATTGATCCTCGTGATGAACTACTGATTCCATGGCATGCTTCTGTTGCTTCTAAAAATTCTAAGAGCGGGCGTTGGGGTCAGTACTAATACTAGTTCCATTATTTACATAACAAATAAAATGAACTAACATACATAACGAGTACAAATGCTCATACATTAAAATATTTACTTGACTTGGAAATGATTTATTGAAAAGGTTTTTTTTATAAGGGTCCCCCGAACTCAACTAAAATAGCGCAACCGTCTTACCATCAAAACGTGATAATCCTAATAAACTTGATAACTTGATAAATTTATCACAATGCCAAGGGAGCTTGATTACCTTGATAAAATCAACTTACTCACAATGGCAAGTACTATTTAAAGCTTATGAAGGTATAGTTAATTCTTATACATAAAGTAAACAAACTGTTTGAGACTTGATACCCTTTGCCTGATTCCTCTGAATCCTCTTTCGCCAGGCGCCTATCTGCACACACTAACAAGGAGGGGGCGCCTTGGCCCGTTAATCCTCCGACGCCCAAGTTAGTTTTCAGGAAGAGAGTAGAGTCTCAAAGCTAGAGTTTGTGTGAGAGTGTCCAACCTGCGTAAATGCTACCAACTGCCTCTATTTATACTTACCCGAGTTCGAGGTTGATCCTCTCTGCCTCCCTGCCCTCATTCAATGCTTTTGTCTCTTTCTGGCCAGACATCCTAACCGCCTTGTCAGACTCCTGACACGTGACAGGCGCCCGCAGGCGCTGGACCACATGACAGCCTGGCCTCCCTTGGCCTCTTGTGCCTTGTCTTCATGTGACCTCCCCTTTACTTGGGCCTTGCCCCTCACTTGGGCTGCTTGGGAGCCCAAGTTTGCCTAGGCCTTGCCCCCCACTTGGGCTTTGCCCATTATACCCCCAACAATTGCCCCCCCAGCTAGGTGCTCATTGCTCTGCTGCTGAGCGCCTAGCTGACTCGGTGGTTGTTTTGCCCCTACTTAGGCGTCTGACCTAGCTGTAGTCCTTTTCGGGGCGCCTCGACCTTCCTGTAGTCCTTTTCGGGCGCCGGGTTTAAGGCGCCTCAACCCCTTATGCCCCCCTCAAGGGGGGGCGTTTGATATTGACCCCACGTTTTCCTTGTTCGAATTTTGGCCTTTTTTTTTTTTTTTGGCCAAAATTCCAATCAGAAAAGGAAAAGGTGGGGGGAAACTCAAAAGCCCGCCCTTGACGATGACACGTGGCACGCTACACGCATCTACCCTCCTGCTCTTCCTTTCCTTTAAATACCCCCCTTCCCCATCAGTCCTTGTCACTTTCCACATTCTCGCCTCTCTCTAAGATTGTTGCTCTGACTTCTCTCTAGATTCTCTCTGACATCTCTCTAGATTCTTCTGCTTTCGTCAGCTTTTCCGTCCATACATCCAAGCATGACTTCGCAAGGAGACAAAGTTGTCGGCCAGGGCGCCTCCCCTGTTGGTGAAGAGACTAGGCCAGGCGCCTCTAACGCTGGCGGCGAGGCAAGGCGCCCCGCTCGAAGTGGTAAGGAATTTTCTTGCTCTACTAGTTGCGTTCCTTACTTTTGTTCTAGTTCTCTAGGGTAGGGCGTCACTTACTCTGCGGCCATATTGCGCCTGGGTCGTTTATTGGTTTAGAGAGGGCGCCTGGGTCGACGTCCGCAGGTCCGTCAAGCGCCTCCACCCCGGGCTTCATGCCCGCCGATGGATCTTACAAGATATCCGTGTGGGAGAACTCGTTTCCGCCTGATCACCTCCCGACGGAGACCGAGTCGTTGCCTTTCGACGTTGCGGGTCCACAGCACACCTCTACCGTCACCTTGGCTCGTGTTCATGAGCTAGTGACCAGCCTCCAGCTGCCCCGTGATTGGTGGTATGCGCCTCCCTCCCCTATCGCACGAGTGGGCGTCTGTGGGCCCAAGTGGATAGGGGTGTATTAAGAGTACTTCCGCTTTGGGCTGCGGTTCCCCCTTGACCACATCATGGAGGGGATAATGACGACCTGTGGCTGCCCATTGGGGCGCCTGTCTCCTTCGGTGATCATGGTGGTCATCTTCTTCAAGCTGCGCTGCCGCGAGCATAACGTGGAGCCTACTTTCAATCTTTTCCGATATTTTTTCAAGATGGCGGCTCATGATAACTGCTTGTCTCTTCAGAAGAGGAAAGGGCGCCCTTATCATTTTGTAGAGAAGTGCCCGAAGTTGGGGCGCAGCTGGTTCAACGGATTTTTCTTCATGAAGGCATATCGGGACTCGTTTTTTGAGAGTGGGGGCGCCTTCATGAGAGAGTGGGCGCTGGGGAGTGTGGAGGAGTTCAACGAAGACGTGAGGTTGTCTCCAACAGAAAAGGCAGGCGCCCCGCTGATTTGCGAGACGCGCGTAAATTTGCGCAAGACCGTGAATCGTCCTCCTATTTTGGAGGCGTATTATGATGATGGTCCGTAGGCGCCCATATGTTGTGCTAACGTTTTTCTTGCCTTGTCCTGTTGTCGATGAATGTTTTCTGTGGTGCTAACTCATTTAACGATGTGCAGGATCAGATTTCACCAGCATCGCGAAGCTCATGAAGAGCCGCCTTGCTGCCATGGCTGGGGGAGCGCCCCCACCACCAAGGCCCAAGGCGCCCGTTCCGGCTGCGCCGGAACCGCAGGCGCCTTCTGCTGCCCCCAAGAAAAAGAAGAAGAGGGCAGTGAAGGGGGGTACCACGAAGACTGCCAGCGTGGCTTCTTCAGCACCGGAGGAGGAGGAGGAGGCGCTGCACACAGAGGCGCCCACTACAGAGCCTGCGGAGCAGGAGGGGAATTCCGGGGAAGAGGAGCCCGAGCCCCTAGTCAGGCGGGGGAAGCGGGCTGGGTCCCCCTTGGGCAATGTCAGCAAGAAGGCTGACAAGGGGAAGGAGAAGATGAGCGCTGGCGCCCGAAGTGGGGGAGGGGGCGCCTTCGAGTATCATCTTACCGAAGAGGGGCAGTGGGTGGGCCCCGACGGGCGCCCCCCCATTTTCCAGCCCACACGCGCCGATGTTGGGCGCATTGAGCTGCCATGCTCCCCGCTGGTGGCTGTTGACCGAGGCTGTGCCATGGGCATGGCAATTACGGCTACCAAAATGTGGCAAGTGCCGTCGGAGGTGAATGGGGATCACCTATTTGCTGAACTGGCGAAAGTGGGCGCCAAGGTACGTTCATCGTTGTTTGTGTTTTTGATTGTTGGGTTTTGTTAAATTTTGCACAAGTACTAACTCTTTGTGTTTCGTGTGTGTTAGATTCTTCTTTTTGCTGAAAGAGGCGCCCGGCGCCTAAATGAAACAAAAAGAGAGGCGCTCGAAGCCTCTTCTTCGGCCTCCCAGTTGCAGCGCGACCTTGATAACGCGACGGAGCGTCGTGAACAACTTGTGAAGGAGTGCGACGAGGCGCAAATGAATGCGCCCTTGCAAGTGTCGCAACTTCAGGGCGCCCTCGACGAGGAGCGCAATAAGTCGGCCACCCTTGCAGCTGAGAAGGAGGCGCTGGCGCAGGGGGCGGGCGCCCAGGCCAGCGAGATTGCCGCCCTCAAAGAGGAGAAGAAGAAATGGCAAGACGCCTACAAGGAGTGCAAGAAGGAGC